ATATTGAGCATCAAATATGTTCTAATGGGTGTCTACCAAGTTTGTTCAAATAAAAGCCCTGGGGTCAAAATTGGCCCCGCCCCAGGGGGTCATTGATTTTCCCTATATGCATATAGTAAAAACTTAAAAAATCTTCTTTTAAAGAACCAAAAGAGTTAGAGCTAAGATATTTAGCATGAAACATGTTCTAATAAGTGTCTACCAAGTTTGTTCAAATAAAAGCCCTGGGGTCAAAATTGGCCCGCCCCGGGGGGTTATTGATTTTCCCTATATGCATATAGTAAAAACTTACAAAATCTTCTTTTAAAGAACTCAAAGAGCTAGAGCTAAGATATTTAGCATGAAACATGTTCTAATGTGTGTCTACCATGTTTGTTCAAATAAAAGCCCTGGGTCAAAATTGGCACCGCCCCGGGGGTCATTGATTTTCCTTATATGTGTATAGCAAAAACTTAAAAAATCTTCTTTGAAAAAACCCAAAAAGCTAGAGTTAAGATATTAAGCATGAAACAACTTTTAGTGAGTGTCTACAAAGTTTGTTCAAATAAAAGACCTGGGGTCAAAATTGGCCCCGCCCCGGGGGTCATTGATTTTCTTTATATGTGTATAGCAAAAACTTAAAATCTTCTTTGAAAAAACCCAAATAGCTAGAGTTTAGATATTAAGCATGAAACATCTTCTAGTAAGTGTCTACAAAGTTTGTTTAAATAAAAGCCCTGGGGTCAAAACTGGCCCGGCCCAAGGGGTGTCGTTGTTTTTTACTATATGTGTATAGTAAAAACTTTAAAAAAAATCTTCTTTTAAAAAGCCCAATGAGCTAGAGCTTAGATGTTTAGCATGAAACATCTTCTTATGGGTGTCTACCAAGTTTGTGCAAATAAAAGCCCTTGGGTTAAATTGGCCCTGCAACGTTGGGGGTGGGGGTTGGGGGGCCTATATACAGGTGAGCGACCTCAGGGCCATCATGGCCCTCTTGTATAGTTTTGCCATAACATTTTCGGCTTAGATTTGTAAATTTCATTAAAATTAATTGTTGTGTATTATGTAAAATGGCATTTTTTATTGGAATGTCATTATTGTTTTCTAAAATTATCATTGTTTAAACCTTCATAATAACTGCAAACTTGAAAAAAATGCATTACCATTAAAATTAATTAGCCCCATCTCTGTAATGTATAAGTAAATAAGTAAAAAGGTTATTGAATACATTTCACATAAGGAAGATTTTAAAATAAAGTGTCATATATCAAATATATGTCAGATCTCAAGAAAGTGATGCTACAGAGATTATCACAGCAAATTTGAATCAATCAATACTTGAACTAGCTGAAAAATATGACAACAAGCGAAGTGAAGAAGAATTTGATTTTTGATTTAATTTAATTAAAAGTATAAATGACAGTCAAAATGAATCAGTTACTCTCCAATTGACTTGATCTTGAGGAAATTTTAAAACACATTCATGTTATAATCGAAAGTGAAAGTGAAATGGACGTCAATACTAATAAAAGTATTTTTGAGAAAAAAAAAAAGATCAAATACATTTATTTCTGCCGTACTATCATGGCACTTCTTGGCTCAAGTCACTTTGAAAAATTTTAGGGAATGGACGGGGTCGAGGTCAGCTGCGGAAAGTCGAGGGAGACGCTTTTGGGGGCTGCAAATGCCAAAGAAGCTATTGTACGTCGACTTAGTAGAACGTCTCTACAAAACAAGACGTTGATCATTCACCTCGGAGACAATGACGTCTGCAAGGAGATTGGTCGGCAAAGATTGAGAGACGGATATTAGAAGATTTGGACAAAACACGGGTCAAACCGGGTGGCGGATAGTATGATTCGGACACTGGACGCCTTTATATCATACATTCGAAAAGAGATGGGGTCCATAAGAAAATCTGTGGTCGACCTATGGAAGAGAACAAAGTCCCGGCGCCCCGCCTCCTTTGAGGTCACCAGGCTGTAGTTCAACAGGAACTTGAACAAAGTGAAGAATAAGAAATTAGAATAAGAAAAAAGATCGACAGTCGTCACATACGCGAAGATGGAGTCAATCTAACAGAAAAGGGTTAGCGATGGTAAAGAAGAAACTGAAATCTGCTTTATCAAAATAACTCTTCACCAAAAAAAAAAAACAACCAACAGTCCTTTTCAGGACTACCACAACTGCTCGAAAGAGATACCTTTAATATTGTCATTCACTGAAGAATACCTTAAATATTGTCATTCACCGAAAGAATACCTTAAATATTGTCATTCACCGAAAGAATACCTTAGATATTGTCATTCAACGAAAGAATACATTACATATTGTCATTCGACGAAAGAAAACCTTATTAAATTGTCACATATACCCTAAATATTGTCTAAGTATACCATTTACCTTCCCTTTTTAATTTAAACGAAACATACATAAATATTGAGAAAATCTTCATACGCACATTTTAAGACTATTTGCATTCAAATTGAATGAAAAATAAATTATTTACAAGCGAAATACGGCGGAAAATTGTTTCAGCCGTGGCAGCAAATAAAGCAAGCGCTCGCTGAATGAAAATCCCGCTGGGAAGAAGGGTAAATCGCTACGAGACAACAGCTCTGTTTAGCCCCTTCTTTTCGCCGTGAAAATGACTAAGCACAGTGGCGTAAGACGAGCAGCCGAAGTGTTGAAATTCCGCCAGGTATAAGGGGAAATCGCGGCGAGTCGAAGGGTCGGTCTAGCCCCCTTCTAACGATAAGGCTTTTTTTAATCACTAGTTTTACGAGTAATTTGTTGTTTAGTTGTTAAAATATATGTAAATTTATATTAATTATCAATTATTTATAGGGGCAAATTTACATTTGCCAATTTTAACAATTCGAGTCAAGTCGAAAAGATGGCGGCGCATAGCTGACTTGAGCCTTTTTTGGGTATATTTCAAGGGTTGACCCGCTAAAATGTCTAAAATGGAAAATGAAATAAAAATAAAGTACCGTATAGAAAAATACATAACATATGTTTTCATTGTAATTTTTATTGTAATATTTTTTTCAAAATATAACTATCAGTAGTAAAGTACAGAATCATAACGAGGAAGTATAAAGTTACGTATATCTTATATGTGCTAATAAGGTGATTACCGGGTAGGGGTACTTAATTTGTAAATAACACCGTGTTTTAATCCAGAATTAAATAAAAAACATTGTTAAAATAACTGTTAATATATAAATGTTAGAGGTAAATAGGGAAAATTTGACAATTTGAATAATTCGAGTAAAGTCGAAAAGATGGCGGCGCAGAGCTGAATTGAATATTTCAAGGGTTGACCCGCATAATCACCTTATATTAAGAGTAGAAAAAAATCAAAGTACGAAAAGTGGACACTCTCCTACGTGGGAACAAACAACCGGACTCACGGCGAAAAGAAGGGGACGTAGACCTCTCGGCGAATTCCACCTTCTACCAGGCGGGATGTTAGCGTTTCAAGCGCCCGCCCGTCCCTCCACCGTACTTTGCCATTCTAATTACCTCACAGAAAGTAAAAACAATCTAAGTACGAAAATGGACATTCCTACGTTGGTACAAACAACCAATACAATTGAAAGATAGAAAGATAGACAAGAAAGAAAAAGTCAGAAAGGGGATAGTATAGCAGGATGGACCGAAATTCGCTTCTTGCGTGTAATATTGTTTAATATATCAGTATATATCACTGATATTATTTAATTGCTATCATATAGCAGATGATATATAATTTTTAACAATTTCATTTGATTTTAGTGTTAATTATTTTTGTATAAATTACTGCTTGCATTTAAATTGATAATATAAGTGATAAATTTAATTAAGTCTTTATTTTTTCGGTAAATAATAGTGATTTGTTACTTTAAACTGTAAATATTTTTTATACTTTGCTGTCTTTATTGTACTCGTCATAGCTACTAACGTAACAGTTGCTCGCGAGTGTTATATTTGTAGGGAAGAGAAACAGAGGACGGGAGACTCGGCACTGCAGACGGAGTTCAAGAACTATTACATGTGAAAAGAGTGCGATTTCCGGCGCGATTATGTGGGGAGTAGCAAGAAGCCTAGAAACCAGAATGAAGACGGTGGGTATGTTTATCGTTTTCTAGCTTCTTTATCTTTTAGGGATGGAGAATTTTCAAGGATAATCCCGGCCGCTGTTCGAGTTCATGACTCCGTCTTGAGGTCGTACCTGGATAATGGCACTATTATCCGGGTACTGACTAAGATATCGGACTTCCTGAGATGGTGTAAGTCGCAACAGTTCATTCACAGATGATAATACGACGGAATTATGGAGATCGTCAATGGATGCCAGCAGTCGGCCAGAAAGGCTGATCAACAGACGACAGTGGAGAGGCTGGTGGAGGAAGCCCAGAACCTGCCAGCACCGACGGTACCTGCTGCGTTTGAAAAATCAGAGTATGTCAGAGCACTAAGGGTAAGGTTTCGGCGGAACCCCATTCATTTTTTGTATGATATGGGGTGCTGCCTTATGGTTTTATTAACCATGACCAATGCATGCAGGGTTTCTGTTTTAGGTAATCTACGCCTCATCGATGTGGACCGGGCACAGATGCACGACAAGGATGGAAAGACCAGGTACACCATGTCCGTGTCGAGGCACAATACTTCCTCTACAGGTAAAGTTGCTTTTTTGGTTTAAGATGAATTTTTATTCGCAGATTTATCAATATACAGACGGACGGTTTCTACTCTAGTGAGTCAGGTCGACTTAAGATCAAAGCTGGTCAGGGATAGACGATTCATGCCGATTGCAACAGAGTCTGTGGGAAGGATGTGCCGAATCGCCTGGGAAGCGGCAAAAATGACAGGTAACTTTTCTACTACTCTTTTCAGGAAAACCACCACAATATACAGTATGCAAGCTGACCCAAACTCAGCAGAGGTCGTCAGCAAGAAGCCTTGCCTCCGGAAGAGCACTGCTGACACGTGGTATGCTGTGCACCAGGACAGAATTTCCGCCCTAGAAGCCGATGATAAAAAGCAACCAAGGATGGCAACAGATGCCGACACAATACCTGACAAGAAAGGCACGCTCGGCTACTGTGAACCAAGCTCCAGAGGAGGTAAATGTTACAGGACCAGCACCCACACCAGCACCAAGACCAGCTCCAACAAAAGGACCAGCACCAACACCACGACCAGAACCAGCTCCAGGACCAACACCAGGACCAGCTCCAACACCAGGACCAGCTCCTGCACCAACACTAGAACCAACACCAGGACCAGCTTCAACACCCGGACCAGCTCCTGCACCAACACTAGCACCAGCACCAACACCAGGACCAAAACCAGTTCCAGCACCAACACCAGCACCAACACCAGGACCAACTCCAGCACCAGGACCAGCTCCACAGTCAGCATCAGTTACAGGACCAGGGCAGGTAAATTTGATTTCTTTTTCAGATACCTTTCTGAGAACAGTCATGGCTGCAAGAAGGTTCGAATGAGGCTCGAACAATTGGGACCTGAGTGGAGGGGCTGCAGAAGCCTACATATGACACACCGGGATTGATGGTTGGCCTCTTCAATGTAGAAGACGATATATCAAGCCAGAGGACGTTCGAGTATCAGGACCACAGGTAGTCAAGTAACAGTTCTTTTATTACTGCCGCCGGCAGCGGAATTGTTCCGCCGTCGGTTACCGGCAGTGATGCTTCTTTTACACTTAGTCTTATTTCAGCCAAAAAGAGAAAGGACCGCGTTCCAGTGCCACCCAGTGTCAAGAAGCAGATCAAGGACACCTTCCTAGAGGTGATATTTCATTATGTGGAGGAGCCTAGCAAAGTCGTGACAATGCATATTGTGAGGGAGATGAGAAAGGATAAGTGGCCGGAGTACAACGATAAACAACTCGTAGACATTTCTCAAATATGGTAAAAAATGAAGAAGACTTTTAGGTAAACATTTTATCATTTTAATTTTAAAAAAGTAACACTATAAATAATAAATAATGCAAATTTAAAAAATAATTTTCCAAAATAAATTTAAAAGAGCAAGACATAAATGATGCCTCATCAACCAAAGAACAAAGGTATATTTTTCCATTTACTTAAGGTCAAAGTTAAGTATTAGACGAATGCAGACAGATGGGCAGGCTATCAAGCCGAAGGAAAGGTAAAGGTCCACAAGGGGTAGGATAATTGAGGAGGTGAAAGGAGATATAATACTGAAGCGCAGACATATCGTGTTGGATTGAGTGGAACGAAATTAAATCGTGACGATGATAATATCAGATATTACCATGGTCTAGTGATGTTTCATTTTTACTTACAGTGAATTACATTGACATTGTAAACAAGATATGTTTGTAAAACATGCATGCCCCCTATTGGCAGCAAATTAGTCGTGTGATCAAGTTAGTACAACTGACTTGACCTCATGACCAAAAAATCAATAAGGGTTAATCACTGGTCATGACAAGTCACTAGGTAATTTTGACGGCAAGAGTTGTGTGCAGCAATTTTATGACAAAGTTATTACAAATCTTACCAAAAACTAATTGAATAAATGTTTTGAATTTTGAAGGCCTCATTAATGACAGCCAAGTTGTTATATTACATAAGACCTTGAAATGTGTATACCAAAATGAATTTAAGTTTAATAAAAAATATCAACCAAGGCAACTTGAGTTATTGAGATATTTGTCAGAAACAGTCTTTACATACAAGGTCAATATTACATTAACCTTTGACCCTTAAATAAATAGGGATTATCTACTGACCAAGACCAATGCAGCTGTGAAGTTTGAAGGTAAAGGGCCCATGAGTTGGGATATTGATCAGAAAGCACCGTTTTAAAATACAAGGTCAATGCAAAGTTTGAAGTTCCTAGGCCTATGTGTTCTTAAGTTATTGATCGGAAACTGTTTTTTCCTACAAGGTCAATGTGACCTTGACCTTTGAGTCATTGACTTTAAAATCAATAGTGATCATCTTCTGGTCATGACTAATCCTTATACTAAGTTTAAAGTTCCTGGGCCTAAGCGTTTTTTAGTTATCACTCGGAAACCATTTGGTCTACGCATCGACGGTCTGACCGACAGACAAATGCAAAGCGATAAACCCCCACTTCTTTGCAAGAGGGGGGGGCATTATTACCTCTTTGGACACCTAGTTCTTACACCAAAGAAGTTTTTAAAAGCCTTTACAAGCTTAGAAGCATATAACTAGTTTGTCAACGGCCGGGTGGGGGAAAGGCACGTGAACAGTCTCTTTTCAAACTCTGGAATACATTCCGCGCTTCTCGGGAAACAACTTCACAGGTGAAGGTCGTGTGTACAAGTGACCTAAATGACTCTTCTGTCTCACTTATCAAAATAATCTGCTATCCTTGTATTAAACCTTTAACAAACAGGCAACAAAGTGAGGAAATGATAATGGAAAAAACGCTTTAAAGGCTTCCAATTAAGAAAGACAAAAACGTGTGTTAAAAAAATTCAGACTTCATCATTGCTACAAAAGTCTTATTCATTGGAGGATCGCCAGATGGTGTAGTTTTAAGCGACTGCTGCGGAACAACAACTGTAGTGTTGAAGTGTCCTTTCAATATTGAATGAGGATTTTGACAAATGTGACTACTTAGTAATTGATGACATCGTTGATAAACGTTCGAAAACAAACCATCAATATTATTTACAAATACAAACTCAATTGGGCTGTTGGAATCTTGAATTTGGCTTTTTTATTGTCTGGACATAGAAACGATATTCATGTTGAACAGACCGTGTTTAACTAGGTTGTTTTTTGTTGTTGTTGTTTTTTTTTTTGTTTTTTTGGTGGGGGGCGTTATGGGGCAAAACTTTCTCCAATGCAGCATCCTTCTGGAAATTGTAGGAAAATATAACCCTTAAAGTCAGACACTGTAACCAGCAGCATCAGGTAGCACACCATAACAAACGGTTCTTTCAGTGGTGTGTTTAAACATCAGTCGTAATAATCAGTCCAATGAATCCGAAGAACTATACTGATTTAGTCAGAAATAAGAGTGCCTGTGACAATCAGAGCCGCAACAATGAGTGGTTTCATTATTAGTGTGTTGGAATTAGCTACAAGCCTCGTGGAAACGCGTATTGCAAGAAATGCAGGAGTTAATTGTAGGGATGTCATCCGGAGTCCAGATATCCGAACGTACGAATCGCGATTCGATGTCCGAAATTAATTTTTCAGATCCGGATATTCGTATGAAGTATTTCTGTTGTTTTTTCCAGAACAATGAACTAAAACATGTCATAATTATGTGTCATATACTTGCGTTGAGATAACCGACCTCGTCATTGTGATTGCATCTCTTTAGCGCGTACCTAAGATATGACAATACACAACGTATACATACATAATCGTATATATGCAAACCATAAAAAATCAATAATAACGTGAAGAAAATATATAATGCTGGTGCACTACCTAAGATATGACAATACACAACGTAAACATACATATACGTATATATGCAAACCATAAAAAATCAATAATAACGTGAAGAAAATATATAATGCTGGTGCACTGTCCTTGAAATATACTTAAGGACAATGAAAACGCACGCCAGCACTATATGCATTTTATTACATGAAAACAAAACACTAACGACGCTATAAGATATATATCATAACTCTAATACAAAACGCAAACTTAACGACTGAAAAAAATTCAAAATGTTAAAATCAGGAAATCCCCAAATCACACTTTTTCATCACAGTAATGCAAACAAAGGCAAAAACCAAAGTGAAAATCCAAAACAAAGTCACTCATAAATGTCTATTCGTAATGTCACCGTCGGGATCTTTAGAAACGACAACGCCCTCCATCAGCGTCTGTTACAGAATGATGTACATCGTCGCCTCATAGACATTACGGTGGAAATAGTCGCCTGTGGAATCTGACGCCTTTTGGCCTGTAGTGTAGTTCGAAAACAATGGCGAAGCCGAGAAATTGTAGACCGATGGACAACAAAACGGTTGGCGCTTTGTTTTTAAGATAGACCAGACTGAAACTGTGCTAAATCTACCCAGCAGTTATTTCTTTATAGAACCATTGCATACAATTTGCTAGCAAGTATTCAGTAGTGTTTGAAATTTAGCACCTTTTATAGAGGAAAAGTGTGTATATGCAATTTCCAAATGAGCTTTTACGATTTCTAAAACTGACCATTGGCATAGTTTAATATTCATTTTTATAAAGGTTTTAATTGCTCATTTGTGTCTAACATTTCTAGAAAGGTGTGGAAAACAAGTAAATAATTTACATTTTAAAATAAAAGATAATTTAATTTCACGAAGAAACCATGAATTGGTTCAATCTGTTTTCTTTTAACTTCAATAAAATGCAACCATTTTTCATAACTTTGGTATCTAAATTGACCGGAATGCATTCTGATTTATGAAACTGTAAAACATATTTAAAAGAAATATATTTTCTTTATTAGACTGATATTATCCCGACCGTGCGTTTTAATTGTCATTAAGTATACAATAATTGTTTCAATTATTATTACCGATTGCGGCAAACAATTGCTTACTCAATATCTTCTTTTGTCCCGACAGTGAAACAAATGTCACACCTCTTGGATATTTATATTGATATTGAATTCGGTAATTGGTGCACGTACAAATGTTTTATACTCTTCTGTGAAGTTTTTGATTATTAATCTGTGTCGGTTTAATTATTCGGCCATAATTTTTAAAACAACTTTAAATTAAGTCTTTCTTATTGGCTTTCATAAAGCAACTCCTTTTCAATTAAATATTACTAATTATGTAAGAATAAAAATCTATTCGTTACTTTTAATTTTAAGTTTACGAGTGGTATTTATCTGGTGAACAGTGTCTTGTTCTTAAGGATTTTACTGATACCACTACTTCTATGTCTACAGAATCACACGTCTCTTGTTCTGAGATATACCCAATTGTGTTCGGTTTACGGAATGGATGTTTAAAAAGACAAAGTGCTGATCATAGTGTTAAAATAAAAGTTAAGTGCTATCCGCTCTGAAATCAATACGCGTTCTCAGTGTGCCGAATCTTACCCATGTAAGCATCCCAATTTGACCCTTAATACAAACGTTTACCTTTCCTTACAGATGAACATCGAACAACGCAAGGCTACGCACGAGATGTTAGATGAAAGTATCGACGAAATCCCATTACGTATCCCCGCACGTGTATACATTCAAACTCCCAAACGTCGTAAACTTAACTTCTGCAAATTTGAAAATGACCCGAAGAATGTGTCAAAATCGCAAATTATCTCGCTGACAAACCTTCTCAGGACTGTGAACCTTTAGATTGGTGGAAAAAAACGAAAACAAGCATCCAAACATCGCAAATACTGCAAGCCGCGTGCTTGCAGTTCCAGCTACTTCCGTTCCGTCAAAACGTATTTCCGGTGCCACTTGTATGTTGTTAAACAATTTAAGAAACAGATTCTCAAGCGACATTGTCGATAGTATCAGATTTATGGGGTTTTATTGTCGTAAATTAAACTTGTCAATAAAATATTAACATTGTGATATTATGAGAAGGCGAAATACTTCAAGTTTCCTAGATTGGCGTGATTGCCAATTGCGAATATTCTTTTGTAATAAGATAATTTTCAGATACTTATAAAAACAGTTTTTTAAGAAAATACTTATATGATAATTGAGTTATTATATCTGACCAGCAAAGAAAGCTTTATTTTCAATTCAATATGAATATTTTCTGTAGTCCTGGAAGAGTTGTCGTTCTTTGATAAAGAATATGTCGGGGAACTATCTTACTTATAAAATAATTATTATGTCCACATTTTTATATTAATTATACACTTTGAAACAATAATATTCATAAAAGGAGACGAAGGGTAAGGGCCAATAACAATATTGAATAATTGATAATAAGAAACAATCGATTTAAAAGAAATGAATAACGGCGCACTCTCACGTTAAAATGGTCGCGAAAATTGGTTACGTCAGATCAACGGACTCAGGCTGAAATAACGATTCGAACATCCGGATGTATTCGGAGTTCTGATTTGAGTATCCGGATCGTGAATTAGGCTCCGGATGACATTTCTAGTTAATTGACATCAATTTGTTAAGACTTTTTAATAATGATATGAATATTATTGACGTCACATTGAGAAAGAAAAAAATATAAATAATATGAGTTACTGTTCAAATTTATCACCTTGTAAACTATGAACTTATTTCTCTTTATTAAAAAGTATACAGTATCTTTATAACAAGAACTGTCGGAGGCAAGTAACGCTCGACTATTCGAAAAGTTGTCACAAGTGTGTTTCATTGAGTATAATAATGCTTACCTATATGAATACATAAAATTGTCACAAAAAGTACAAAGGCTTGTTATTCAGATGTTTTATCGAGTGAATCACTGCTTTATTATTATGAATGCATAAAATTGTTCTAAAAAAAGCACAAACCCTTCAGTAGTTATGGAGAAACCAGCTTACAAGCAAAAACTTTACCAAGAATTTCTAAGCCGAAAAAGGTGCATAATTATGAAAAAAAATCAGAATTATGGGACGTGTGCCAATCATGTTAAATAATCACAGAGAACAAGTGTGTGAAGTTTCAATTTATTCCCTTCAGTAGTTATGGAGAAACCAGCTTGCACGCAAAAACTTAACCAAAAATTTCTAAGTTGAAAAGGGGCATAATTATGCATAAAGCAAATCAGAGTTATGGGACTTGTGCCAATCATGTTATATAATTACAGAGAACAAGTGTGTGAAGTTTCAATCCATTCCCTTCAGTAGTTATGGAGATACCAGCTTGCACGCAAAAACTTAACCAAGAATTTCTAAGTCGAAAAAGGGGCATACTTATGCCAAAAAGGAAATCAGAGTTATGGGACTTGTGCCAATCATGTTAGTTAATCATAAAAAACAAGTGTGTGAAGTTTCAATCCATTCCCTTCAGTAGTAATAGAGATACCAGCTTGCACCAAGAATTTATAAGTTGAAAAAGGGCATAATTATGCAAAAAAGCAAATCAGAGTTATAGGACTTGTGCCAATCATGTTAGATAATCACAGAGAAAAAGTGTGTGAAGTTTCAATCCATTCCCTTCAGTAGTTATTGAGATACCAGCTTGCACGCAAAAGGTGTACCTGTAAAATAACAGAAGATCACTAACATAATATGATATGATAAACTACACTATCATTATCATTTGTCCACACAACACACACTACACAACTTTTATGCTCTCAATTTTATGAGCATATTGCTTACTTTCTTTTTTATATTGTCAATTGGTCTCTTAAACATTTCCCCATTTTCTTTGCAGCTTTTCTTTATTCCAATTTTTAGCTCATTTGTGTTTGGACACTTCAATGTCTGAAAATTTCTGTAAAACAATCTTTTCAATTCGCTCTCCTCTCCTTCTGTCCATTTCTGCCTCTGTGTCTTCTTTCTATCTGTAAAAGGTACATTAAATTTAAAAGAGGCATAAGAATATACATAACTATATACCTTTGACTGTTAAATAATTTAAATGAACTAATTTACAGTAAAACTCTTTTAAGTCTCTGGTGGATGTTATAAGTCAGAAAAGTCAGACTGGAATCACATTTTAGTTTGGTACTCAACAATTCTGCCAAGTTTAATCTTATGTGATCTATCTGGACAACTATATCATAAATGTTCAATATTTCACCCAACTTTGCATCTTCATATATTAACAGCTATATATTCACCAGCCAGAAGGAAAAAATAAAACATAAAACAGCTGTCATATAGATATGTCGTGACAGAAGTAGCCAATGAGAAGCCTTTTATAATGTATCAAAGAACTACTCATAAAGTGTCAGCCCAAACTAATTTTTGGTATTATATCATAATTTTAGTGGTACTTTTATGTGCCGTGTTTGACTTTTATTTTACCTTTTTCGGTGAAATATTGAAAACATCAGTGTGATATAACTCTACTATTTCATTTCTACTGTTGTTTTCTTTATGTTCTTGACATTCTAACTCATCCAGAACTGTCTAGTTAAAATATTTTCAGGCTAGTACATCAATAACATTTTGATTAAATTTCAAAACTACATGCAAATCGCAACATTGTGAAGTTATATGCAGTGACATGAAACTGCAAACTTTTTGTTTGTAGCAATACCTGTGGTTGGCATATATGCGATGTTTTGTGTGTCCAGTACCATTGAAAATTATTGCAAAGAAATGATAAAGATTAAACAGATGTAATAACAGTAAAGCTGTATGCACTTATTTACCAAATTCTACTGTATATTACTCAACACACTTTCTATACAGTGATCTTTGACCTAATGACTTGTAATGCTATATAGTCCAGTTATCTTTATGACTGCTAAAGCACAATACAATTTATGTTATAGATAACAGACGATGACTGTATATAATAAAAGCTGATATATTAGCAAGATAATATAATTGATATAATTGGTCCTTTTCTCTTACTTTGTCCTGTCTTTGTTTTCTTTATCATGCTGTCGTTGCCATCGTCTTCTAAAAGCATAGCCATTGCCTCAAAGAAATCAATTGGACAATAATGAATAGGCTCATGCTTATTCGGAAGAAACAGCATTAAATTTAAAAATCAACATGGCTTTCAACAAAATGGCAGTCTTAAAATCCCATACCTTCATCTGCCTCAGCCAATCTCAATATACTTATACTAGCTAGAAAAATATGTGCATTAATCTTTATTTGAAATCATGAAAAATTAAAAAAAAATGTTTAAACAGTAAGAGGTGAGCACCAAAGAAGCATAACACAATTTCAGAGAATGTAATAAATTAAACCTGTTTTTATCATACAAATTTCATGGATATTGCTTGAAAACATAAAGAAGGTTAATATGCCACAGTCAAAGTTTAAGTCAAGCATAATGAAACCATGATTTTGTTTACCTGTCAAGCTATTACGGATTAATTTAAATCTGATAACTTACTTCTTTTACTACTTTTCTCTTCGCCATCCTGACAATCTTCATCTTCAAGTTCTACAAAAACACCAGCCTAAAGGTATCTTTCAAGAAGGAAAGTTGATATTGTTTTAAATATTTATATGGCTATCTAATTTTTTTGCATTTAAAATGTGCAGATAATATTTACATATGCAAGGCAAAGAAGAAAATACATTCCTAGGCCAAATGGCATGCTTACTCAATGCTAGTGGAAAATAAGACATGTCAATTACAATTTCACATACTTGCTTTTTTAAGGGAGTGGATATATTTGTGATGTATCTTAATTTAAAAGTATTAAAAAAAAAAATTATTCTAAAATTTGCAAGCACAAAACTTGGTTAAAGTCAAACTCTGCTGGATATTGATGTGCGCTGGTAAATCTGTCAACCTACTTTTGTTGTTCAAAATCAGTGTTCATTCACCACAAACAACTGTATTTTTACCTATACTTACAAAAGTAGTTTTGCATTATAGATGTCTATTCACCTTTTACTCACTTTAGCTTTAAATTAATTAATAATCCTCAAATTTCCTAATAATCACATTTATTGTTAATAAAGTCTGCAACTTTGTATGTTACTTTCACTATACATCAAGTGCGTGCTAAAGTATTGCAGTGACATCAGCTCTGATTGATTTTATTTAAAGGGCTTTTCAGTGGGACTGTTAGAAATAAAGTTTCATTTTATTTTATACGTATTTGGTGCATGATCTGCTACCACTCCTTAAAATGTTAATTGTGTACATCATAATAATTGTTGAGTATCAATGAATACAATAATTTTGTTCTATATATTACAATTAATGTTTTTATTTATTTACTGTTAGAGGTGTTGGAACTGTTGAAAATTGTTTGAATTGTTGACGAACATTGTTTAAGATTGAACCACTTGTATAAAAGGTGGGGTTTCTCGCATGAGTCACTCCGAAGCAGAAAAAGGCATTATCTAACCATTCATTTCTTCGTTTAATCTTAAATAAAGAAATTATCTTGTAAAATTATTTATACAAACATTTTTGGGGACATAACACATCTACAGCAATCCTTGCATTGTTACATTCAAGCGTTGAACTTCAATAAAAAGTGATTTTTTCTGAAGATCTTTAATTTTGTTAGTCAGGCACCGACACCTCGTATTTGATTCGCCAATTATTTTATACTTTGATTTCTTTCTATTATTCTTGACATTAAAGGTTAACTGATTTGGATAATTTATGTAAATGCTGTTTAATATGAAGAAATAAACTTATTAACGGTTATTCATAGTCTATATTCCCACTTAGATTTTATTTAAGCTTTGTGTGGTTTTAATAATTGTTCACTTCTCTTGCTG